CTCATAAGAGAGCCCAACCAAACCCCAAATAGCAAATATTACAAACAATGATAAATGTCACTTTGGAACAAAAGGGGATTAATAGTATGATAGACGTACCAAACTTTGTAACTCGTTCTTTGTGATCGTTTCTGTGCCGTAATGACGGAGACATGTTAAGAAGTTCAGATAATCAGCTGGACTTTGTAGTCTTTCCTTTACCCTTTCACGGAAAATGAACCCTTTGCTACACGAAGCTGACAAGATCAACAAAATCAAATTAAAAAGCATACTAACAAAACTCAGCAACTCTATGCTAAAATCAAATGCATACACCAAGAACTTTACCAAAAAAATAAGTGAGATAAACTAAATAATAAATTAATACATATTTACTAATAGATCAGTGTCATTACAAAGTATATAGCTAATAGTGGAAGATTCTAATGTAGCACATCAAATACAAATATTCAGCTAACCATGAACTCACATTTCAGGGCATCTTCAAACTCTCCAAAAGAATTCATTTTACCAGTATGCTGCTGCTTGCTTAGATCCTCTTTGTAGTTGGTATCTGGCAAGAACCTAGTAAACTCATCTAACAAATCTGGATGGCCATTGAAAAGTATGGCAACCTAAACATACGATATGACAAAAAGTAACAAAAAATTAAAACATAAACATCATCTATTGTATACCAATTTAAAAAAGAAACTATTACCTCTCGGTACACCTCATCAATTCCCTTATGCTCTTTCTTATACACGTTCAAGATGTCTAGAAAGTATCTGTAGACTTGATCATCATTTTGGAATCGTGTCTGCAGAATATGATAAACCAAATAAATTAGGACTAAAGTATTTTAAAGAAGAAAAGACAGACCTATATTATTTAAACTGGAAGTGTAACCTTTATTTTATTCACAAAGTTGACAGCATCTCCAAATTCAACTCGAGGCTTATCTTCTTGATTGGGAGTTATCGTATATCCCTCGGGCAAGAAAGTGTTGAATCCAATGATCAACCTAGGGTACTCTTTGAACAAATCTTTCACTCTTTCTATGACAGTAACAGTATCAATTCTGTAAAAAAATGGAATAATTCACTGATAAAACAACAAATATGAGAATGATGACACTAAGGCAAATAGTAGTAACATACCTTTGAGCCTTAAAATGTTTCATAATATCAAGGAACATTTCATACTTCACTTTGCCTTGAAACGTGTCCTTAACTTCCTTCAAATAAGACAAAGCATCCTCTGTTCTAAGATTTGGGTTACAAGGGCTAAGAAAAGTTAGCCCTCTACCAGCAATGCGGCTGCCCAAACCATTTTCAACTACTTGTGATGAACGACGCCTACTTCACACAACAAAAAATTCATATACCATAAGTAGTCACTACTACCAAAAATGATATCATGTATATAATGAAAAATCAGCCCATTTTTTTTATTTTTAACCTAAATTAACACACTAATTTCTTCACGAGAATTCAATAAATCAAAATAATTGAGAAAGTGAATAGAGCTTACGACTCTCTACGAGAATAATTGATTCGCCGCCTAAACCTCTCTTTACCACCAGATACTTCTCCTCTCAATCGGGCCATGCTGCAAAAATTGAACATCAACAAGAAGTTGTGCTAGTAAATATAAATTTTACTAAGAATTAATAAAAAAATCAATTCAATCATAAAAATTACTCAGACAAAGGGGGGGAAAATTAGAAACGGCTGAACCCTAGTATTTTTCTCTATACCTTCTCTACTTGGAGAAAAAAATGTTGTGTATGTAGTAATGAGACTACACATATATATAGTACTAATTCTTGTAACGTATGATGTTGGTCAAACTTTAAGGGCAGTTTAGTCTTTCTCTAATATTTTTAGTCATTCACTAAAGTTATGACTATTTATTGACCGGATTCAATTTGTTGAATTGAAAATGATTAAAGTAAAAGCAGTGAATCCATATTTTATGAATTATTAATTATTTTTCTTAAAATATCATGTATTTCTTCTCCTTATTTTTCCGTAAATATGCAACTT